AGAGACACACACAGACAGGCCGGGTGGTGGTGGCACACGCCTTTAATCCCAGCACTTGGGAGGCAGAGGCAGGCAGATTTCTGGGTTCTAGAGTTCGAGGCTAGCCTGGTCTACAGAGTGAGTTCCAGGACAGTGAGGGCTACACAGAGAAACCCTGTCTCAAAAAACCAAACCAAAAAAAAGAAAGGAAGGAAGGAAGGAAGGAAGGGAGGGAGGGAGGGAGGGAGGGAGGGAGGGAGGGAGGGATGTGCTAATTAGAGAATAGGACATACAAGCATTTCTAGCCAAGCATATTGTTTTCTTAATCAAGGAATACTTCTCCAATCTGCAATCAATCAATGTCCTCACAGCTGCAAAAGCTGCCTCATTCAGGCACTTCAAGGAGAAGTCTTGCTGAAGCACTTCACCCTCCTTTCTGACCGCCTCCTAAGATGACCTTTGCTGACCAAGAGATAACTAGCATTAACATTGATGAAACTAGCAACAGCACTTACAGAAATCCCTTAAATAGCAAACCTTCTGTTCAAAGAAAGATGCCAACTCAGAGGTTGAAATAGGTGACGCAGCCATGTTCAGGGAGAGGAGGACCTATGATGTAGATGTATTATGGCCAGCATGGTAGCACACACTTGTAATCCCAGAACAAGACAATCAGCAGCTGAAGAGTAACCTCAACTCTGTATCATAGTTTAAGGCCGGGATGGAGTGAGATACTGTTCATAATTAATTAATTAAAATAATAAATAGAAATGGCTTTACAAAAACATCATATAAGGAGACATCAAACCCCATTGCTGATCAGACATAATATTGATTATGCATCAATATTATGCATTCAGGGAGGAGTGGTGCCAAAGGAGCTGAGCGTTCTACATCTTCCTCTGAAGGCTGCTAGCAGAATACTGGCTTCCAGGCAGCTAGGATGAGGGTCTTAAAACCCACAGCCAGAGTGACACACCTACTCCAACAAAGCCACACCTACTCCAACAAGGCTACACCTAACAGTGTCACTCCCAGGGCAGAGCATATACAAACCATAACATATATCTTCAAATAATGTTACTTTGATTCCTTCCTTTCCGATTTGTATCCCCTTGATCTCCTTCAGTTGTTTTATTGCTCTAGCTAAACCTTCAAGTACTATATTGAATAAGTGTGAGAGAGTGGACAACCTTGCCTTTGTAGCATGTAATTATTTAAAAAAAAAAATCCACCTTATTGCCAGCTAGGGACCGGCAGTCTCAGTCTGTTACCAGTCCAGTACATAGCCCAAGGCCAAGATCAGGTGTTTCTCCTAGCCAACACCTCTCCCACAAACTCTGATTTTGAATTTTCAGGGCCTTTGAGCTGGAATTCTTCTCCTTCTATTCCTATTACTTGTAGATTTGGTCTTCTCAGTGTTCCAGACTTCCTGGATGTTCTGAGGTATCAATTTTTTCTATTAAATTTTCAATGCCTGAGACTCTCTTTTCTGTCTCTTGTATTCAGTTGGTGAAGCTTGCCTTTGTAGTTCCTGTTCAAATTCCGAAATTTTCCATTTCCAGAATTCTGTTTTCTTTATTGCTTCTATTTCCATTTGTGGGTCTTGAACAGTTTTATTTCTTTCAACTATTTTTTTCTCCTGGCTTTTAAGGAATTTATTCACATCACCCAATTGTTTGTGCTTTCCTAGATTTAAGAGATTTATTCATTGCCTCTTTAAGGACCTCTATCATCATACAGTCGTTTTAAGGTCTTTTTCTCGTACTTCATCTATGTTAAAATATTCAAGGTCTGCTGTGGTAAGATAGCTGAACTCTGGTGGAAACATGTTGTCCTGGCTGTTACTGTGTTTTTACACTGGCATCTAAGCATCTGAGTTTAGATTATAGGTCAAGTTTTGATTTTAGAGAGGTCAAGAGGGGCTGTTCTATGAAATCTACAAGTGGTGTGGACAGGGAAGGGAGGCTGTAGTTGGGATGAGCCTGAGGGACTGGGTCTGCTAGGGGATCACAGAGAGCAGAGAAGGTCTAAGAACAGAGTACCTTGTCTTCCAGCAGGTGTGTCCTGTGGTTGAGTAGGGGGTGTCCACCTGAGCTGAGGGCTGGGCCACAGTGACAATTCAGGGAAGGGAGGCCAAAAGGGAATGTTCTGTGGGATCCACAGAAGTGTAGAAGGCTGAATTTGGTGTTCTGTTGCAGTGTTAGTGGTGAGCCTGAGGGCTTGGGTCTGCCAGGGGAACAGAGAACAAAACAATAAACTCTTATACATTCAGCAAACTTTATATTGCAAAAAGATAAAGAACAACTGAGACAGGTGTTTGCTCTCCTGCACAGGAATACATCCATCTGAGCTCCACTCGAAGCTTTGCTTTGCAATGTTTACATAACACACATCAATTCTGATCCAATCACAATGGCAATTTCTTACAATGTAGATATGAAATCTATATACTAATCTACTGAAATACTCTTCAAAATTTTTTATCTGCAATTAACCATTACAATGAGAACAAGCGTTATACCAATATGTCTCTCCTTTCCCTCAGTGTTTACTCTCTGGAAGCTGGAATCCTCTCTTACATCATGTAAAGACACACTAAAAGCACAGGGAAAAAATGGTTCATCTTGTTAACATAATGCCCATAAGTCTGGTGAGATAATGCCCATATTTTAACCTTGAAACATAAAGTCAGAGTTAAAGCGTCACTTAATCCATACAGTACATTGTTAATTACCAACAGTGCCCCACTGACTCAGAAGTTCCCTATCTGGCTGATGTCATTTAGTAACTGTTAGACCATGACTCAATCAAAGAATGTGCTTGTATGAGGCTGCTGGTTTCATTTTAGAATTAGAATGCTCATCTTTGGGCTACTTTCAAATACAGAAATACTATATGTGGCATATGAACTATGGATTTTGTTTCCCATTACTTCAGGAAGAATTTATTGAAATAAAATTTTACGAGACAAAATGCAAATCTACATGCTTATATTTAGGTGTGTACATGTATATACTAACCCTAACTAAAGCATTACAAGCAATACTAACAGTTCTGGTTACATATTTCCAAAGACTTAACTGCTTTAAAGATACATGTTATAAAGACACTTATGTAAAAGGCAAAAATGAAGAATCAACATAACCTTTGAGGTTTTCAGTATTACTTCAAAAAAGCTCTCTATCCCCCATAGAAGAAAACTATGCATTTGTTTATCCTAGAAAAAAATATAAAAGGATAATGCTATCATTTAAGAATTCACAAAACCTAGCTGTATATCCCATGAAAGCCATACCCACTGGACGTAAACAGCAGTTATGGTCCCTACTGTATGACAGACACACCATCTGCTTTCCTCTTTGACAACAGGGGTTTATCTTTCTCAAGCTCTCTTAGCTGTACTACAGAAGTTCAAACCCTGTAGCAACAAATTAAAACTACAAAATAAGGCATTCTGCTTACATCATAAAAGTAACAGGCTTTAAATAATAAAAAATGTTCTTAATGTCTTTATAATTTCACATAATCTAGCATTACACAATCAAAATAATTTTACCCCCAAAATACAATGAATTGCTACTTTGGGAGGGACAGGGGGTGTTGCTCATGAATCTTCAACTTTGGCTATCTCTCCTACCACGATCTCTAAGCCTGTAGGTAGGTCACTTACTAAAACGTTTTTCAAATTATATTAAATCTAAATTGACAAAATCTCTGTAGTGTTATTTAGGGAAAAAAAGAAAAGTGGACTTGGCACAGACATGCCAACAGATCACAGAGTTTTCCTAAACAAAACATCCTCCACACAGAACAAAAATCTGTCATCCACGTGCTGCAAATAAGAGGCAGCACTACCCCCTCCATTAATAGCACAGGTAGAAGGCTCAAATACTGAAACATCTGTTACTTTCAACTGCAGATTGTATCAAAGATATCTTCTAAAATACACCTTTTTTTCTGAAATCCAGATTTGACTGCTCATCACACTTTTACATTAAATGTTGCTTAAACAAAAATAAGAGCATTAACTTCAGTGTTCTACCATCTAAACATCTTAAAGCAATGGTTATACATCAGCAGCAACAGGTAAAATGCACCTAATTTGGGTCCTTGACACCTCTTGTTTAAGTTTATTGTATGATAAAGTTCTTCACAGTTTAAAATATTGTGAAGTAAGATTTTATATATAATTATATTCACATACACACTATGTACACATACTATCTGAGGTGTCCATAAACCTGGAATATGTGTTTATCAGTAGGGTATCCACTTGAGAAGGAACCCTGAATAAATTGGTGTGGACTGTCAAAGTATCCCAGAAATGCTTAGAAATAAGACAAGATTATTATTATGAGCATTTATAATAAAAACTTTACCTTATTTACATAGTGCCTATCTCCCAAGAGGTAAAGATGCTTTATGGACATTTTTCGGTATCCCTTTGAGGCAGGACATTGGGGACACTATCAATTACCTTTTTCCACAACCCAGGGACTGCCAGGGCCATGTACTTTGACAGTGGCAGAGCAAAACCCAAGCACATAAAGACCTCTTGGCTCTCAGTCTCCCTTACCACATTTCAGTCTTGTGGTACAACAGAATCCCAGCACAAAGGGTTAATGTCTAAGTCCTCCTAGATCTGCAATGTGCACTAGATTGATACCAAGGGGAGATCAAATGGTATTTTGGCTTTGGCAGATGAAAAAGTCTAACATTCTGTGTGATTATAATTCAGTGTAACTTCTCCAGTCTAAGTGCAACACAGCTGATTGGTCTACTGGGGGGGGGGGGGGTGTCTAACAAGACAATGAGTTCTCATCCAAACAGCTACTGGTGACTGACTACAGAGACAGCCCAGGACCTGGCGCTAAGTTCTTTTCTATTTCCACAATATGGTATACACATATAAATAAACATCTCAGCATAAAATGTACATTAGCATCAGTTCATGTTCAAAGGCCTTAAGGATGAACTTTAAAGGCCAAGAGTTCTTCAGAGTGCATGTTGTTTAAAGATCGAAGATCTGGCAACTTTAGAAGTAATTTTGTAAAAATGGAGGCCTCATTTGGATGGTTTTTCATTATTAAGGTCCTTAGTGCACGGATGAGTGTTTCCTGCAAAGCCTCCACTGAGTTGACATTTTCAATTCCAGATCGATCTAATGGGAAGTAGAGAAGAGAGAAATATGAAAGGAAGACATATTAGCAATAAATGATTACTTACACCACTACCAAATTTAAAATAGGGTTTTATACACTGCAACATACACAAACTGTAAAAATTCTCAGCTAAAGTAATATCAATAACACAACAACAAACAAGCCAGGGATGCCTTTAATCCCAGCCCTCAGGAGGCAGAGGCAGGTGGATCTCTTGAGGCTACCCTGAGCTATAGAGCAAATTTCATGACTGCCAAGGACACAAAGAAAAACCCTGCCTTGAGGGGGGGAAAATTTTTTTTTCAGCCAGGCATGATGTACATGCCTTTAATCTTGGGAGTTCAAGGCTAGCCTGTGGTTTCTTTTTTTCTAACATGTTTTGAGTGTTTTGCTTACAAGTATGTCCGTGCACCATGTGCATGCCTGATGCCAAGTAGGATCCTCCGGAACTGGAGGATGGTTATGAGCCACTATGTAGGTGCTAGGCATCAAACCCTCATTCTCTGGAAAATCAGTCATTGCTCTTAACTACTGAGCCATCTTTCCAACCCAGAGTTTCTCATTTCTTTAAATTTGATGCTAACTTCAACTGCTTCTAATTGGCAAGATAAAACAACATAGTACAGAAATATACCTTTACCACATACAAACTACATTTACACTCCCATGCACAGTAGATTCCCTGTCCTGGTATTGATACCTTATATTGTCCCCTCCTCTTGAAAGGGCTAAACTTACTGACTGCCATCTAATGAATACAATTTGACCATTGAGAGGAGCAATCTGCACCATACTGGCGCCTATCTGAATGAGATACCCCAAGAGAAAGTTGCTACAACCTTAATACAAGAAACTGGGACCATCACTGTGACTCATGTGGACTGAAACACACTGGTCACTCATTCAAAGAGAAAGTAACCTATACTAGGTTCACATGGGGCAACCCTTTTCTCTAACATAATGTGGAAGAGCAGAAGGATGAAATTATCAGCAAAGATGACCAGATTTTTAGGCAGTCTGCTTGCTTACCTGCAGATACTAGAACAACTGCTGTGAACAAGCTCATTTCCTCATCACTGAGCTGGAGGGCATTCAGCTTTTCACTGAACTCAAACATAGAGCTGAGCAGATCCCCTGCTCCCATTGAGTGCAGGTCATCCACACTGTACTTCTTTCCACTTAGAAAGGTGACAGTCCGCTCCTTTGCATCAAATAATGAAGCAAATCGTACCATTAAAACCTGAAAGGCAGAAAATTCAAATGTATTTGAAGAAGTTCATTGAGAAAACTAAGATGTAACTATTGAAGTCAGTTAAGAAACATCCTACATATAAAATAAATTTTATAGAAAAGGAAATTGAATTTATATCTAGAACCACTTTAAGGCAAATTCTCCATGAAAGCAATAAACATCCCAACATCAAACAGTCCAGTCAGCAATTTGCAAGATGCTAAAGATTCTTAAATCCTATAAACAAAGATTCAGAAATGAAAGTATAAAGTGAGCCAGGCGGTGGTGGCACACGCCTTTAATCCCAGCACTTGGAAGGCAGAGGCAGGCGGATTTCTGAGTTCAAGGCCAGCCTGGTCTACAGAGTGAGTTCCAGGACAGCCAGAACTACACGGAGAAACCCTGTCTCGAAACAACCAAAAAAGAAAAAAAAAAAGTATAAAGTGAGCAGTGATGTCACTGAATTTAAAAATGCGGCCTACAGGCCGGAGTGAGCAGAGCCGGAGCAGGTGGGGCTGGAGCAAGATGGAGACGGGAAGGTGGGGGGGACGTGGCCTGCAGAAAGATATGTGTAGTATATTCACTTATAAATGGACATTAGCCATAAACTGCAAGATAGTGACGCTATAATCCACAGACTCAAAGAAGCTAAGTAACAAGGAAGGCCCAAGGGAGAATGCATGAATTTCACTCAGAAGGGGAAACTAAACAGTCATCAGAGGTGAATGGAGAAAGGGAATGGGTAGGAGTGGGGTAAGGAGGGTAATTGGGATGGCAATCGGTGAGGGGAGACGAGGAGCAAGAGAGGGCTGGGAGTGAGAATGGAAATCAGTGGCAGGCATCTCTGGTGACTAGCTGGATGCCTGGATAGGAGAGGGAGGTATAGGGAGTCTATGGGGGTGACCCTAGCTAAGACTCCTATCAGAGGGGACTATATAGACTGAAATGACTACCTCCTGTAGCCAGGCAGGACCTTCCAGAGGAGGGAGGGGGACATCAATCTACCCATAAAACCTTCAACGCACAGAGTCAATTAACCTGGGACCATGGGGCCTCACAAAGCCTGGGTCACCAACCAGGGAGCATACAGGAGCTGAACCTAGACCCCCTACACATTTGTAGCAAATGTGCAACTTGGTCTTCATGTGGGTCCCCTAACAAGTGCAACAGGCTGTCTTCGTCTCTGATCCCTGCCATTGGATTCCCTTCCACCTACCTGAACTGCCTGGTTGGGCCCACTGGGAGAGGATGTGCCTAATCCTGCTGGAACTAGTTGTCTCCGGCGGGGGGTGGGGGGAGTGGAGTGATGTGTGTGTGTGGGGTAATATGCAAGTAGAATTCCCCTTTGGGGCAACGGGGAGACGGGATTGTTAGAGAGGGACTAGGAAGAGGGGGTGTGTGCTTTTGTATCGGGATATAAAAGGAGAATAAAAAAAAATAATTATTGGGGGAAAAAATGGGCCTAGTCAAAGGCATTCCTGAAACTGTCTGGGGTCCAAAGCATGTTTCAGGCAGGTGTCTATGCTGTAAAACAAGTTCTACTTCAGCCATCACAACCCAGGACTGTTGCTCAGGCCACATCTAAGACTGTATCACATCACAGCCAGTGACTGCTGCTCAGGGCACATCAGTTGTGACTGATCGTATCACAGGACTGCAGCATGCATCTACACCTCTGTCCGTGACAGCAATGCTGTCTGTATGCCTCTCTTACATCTGAAAGTGGACTGGGCAACACTGGTCTTCTACAATGACCCAAGCCAAAGTGACAACCCAAAAGCCCAGACAACCCAAAAGGAAGGGAATCTCTTCTGATATGCTGTTAATTACTTTGAAGCACAGTCACAGATCATTAAATCCAGGACTTGTGTTGAAATCCTAGGTATGATATACTAGTCACCTCGGGGCAAGAATTTTCTCTTCCAAAACAAGTGGACTGCGTCAGCCATTGACTTGAACCCTCTGACTTGAAAACCTAAGTTTCATTGTCTTCCTTTAAACTGGAAGGCACAGCTGTTGCTTGATTATTCTAGAGATGGTTTATTATCAAAATGGTGCTTCTCTGTTCTGGTCCTGATAGTCCAGGCAGCAGAGGCTGAGGCAAAGGCTTCTGTGGCACATGTGAAAATTGCATAAGGAAAGAAGAAAGGAGACCTAGGAAAGTGACTAGAGGGTGCTCCAGCCAGGCACGTTCTACGAAGGTCAGCACTTAACACCCAGAGTAGCTGATAATTTAAATCTGTACGACCCAGCAGGGGTAAAGAATCTAACATATGTTTGGTCCCTTCTCACACTGCTCAGAGTTTAAAGGTCTAGCCCACTAGAGGTTCAACTCTTACTGTCCCCTCAAATTTCAGACCTATGTATAAGTGACCTCTAAGTCACCACTGGGAGGCAGCAGTTGGCCAGGCCACCTACATGAGGGGCAACCATGGCAGTCCAAGCACAGGCACAGAGCACCTCTGCAAGAGAAGCTGGGATGGAAAGAGTGAAAAAGCAGTGGTAGAAGGATGACACAGTGGCACACCCCAAACTCATCAACTGGGAGGGAGACAACAGAGAGGGAACTGAAGCAATCTGGGCTACTCAAGACCTTATCTCAAAAGCAGTGACTGAGGACAACCTGCCAAGGATCCCAAGAAAGGGCAGCACAGAGATGTCTACTGAGTCCTTAAATATTCTATACTCTTATATATGCCAGTCTCCTTTCTTGGGTTTTGTGGGTACTCACTTTTGCTTGTTTTGGAGACACAGGATCTCACTATATAGCCCTGGCTTGCCTAGAACTCAGAGATTCACCTGCCATTACCTCCTAAAAGCTGGGCCTAAAGGCGTACACCACCACACCACACCCAACCCACTCTCCTTATCAATTCTGTATTCAATATAATGAGTACTAGACTCAGCTTCTGAGTGTCACGCTAAGCAAAAACCAGTACGTCTACACCTGAAACTACCAGCAGAACTTGTAATTCACATGCTGGGGTCATAGCATGAACACTCCAGTCCCAAGTAGATCAATGTACCTGGTCCCTCCTTTCTTGGAACCCTATGATAGTTATTATTGTTTTGTTAGTTTGAGACTCTAAACTATCAACATTTATTTAGAAAAGAAAAAAGAATTAAGTACATGGCTCTGCATCAACCGTCAGGATAAATAAAACTTACCTCAAAAGTCCCAGCTTTTAACAGGTTGACCTGATCGTGCTGAGACAGATCTCGGAAGCCAGGAATCCGTTTTGCAAATTCCACCACCTCTTTTACTGCTGGGGTAAAACTCATTGAAAATTCTTCCCAGATTTCATGTCCAGACTTCTGAGGATCCACATATGGAGATTTGCTCATAGGACAAACCTAATTTACAGGAAATAGAAAAACTCTTAAATTGTGAAGGGTGGCAAAGAATTCCAAAGTGTCACCTCAATCATGAGAAACCACAACATGAATAACTCCTAACCAAGCAAGGTCTTCCATTAGCCCTTTCTCTGAATGCATCTCACCTCAACACAGGAATTCTCACCACAGTAAATACAGTTCACATTATCTTCAATCTACATAAGAAAATGTGTGAGTTCTAACCAATGAAAGGTGGGTAAATACCTTAAAATGGAAGCTTTACAACTCACATATTCAGGCTGGAAAGACAGATGGCTTAGCAGTAGAAAATACTGCGCTTGCAGTTCAGTTCCCAGCACACTCATCAGAGGCTCACTACTGCCTCTTAACTGAAGTTTCAGGGGCCTCCTTCAGTCCCTTCACACATGTGCACATACCCACACTCACACATGCACATAATTAAAGTTACAATAGCCAGATGTGGTGTGGCACATGAGTTTAATCTCAGCACAAGGGAGGAAAAGGCATGAGGATCTCTGAGTTTAAGATCAACTGGTACACACTTTTAGTTTAACGCTAACAGAAGTATGTAGTAAGACCCTATCTCAAAACAAAAAGCAGCAATAATAAAAACAGAAATCACATATCCTGTACACTTTAAAAGCCTTATAAAGCTTTAATCCCAATACTTGGGAGGCAGAGACAGGCAGACCTCTATGACTACCAGGCCAGGCTAAGTGAGACTCTGTCTCAAATGTGCTTTTAAAAGCCTCATGGCAACCTAATTGAAAGAGTTATGGGCCTACTGTAGGAGGTAACCTAGGAAAACTATTGCATAAGCAAGAACTTGAAAAACCTCTTGCATGGGCAACAGCTGCCACCTTACACACATGTGCAGTGCCTTGAGTTTTAAAACGGATTTATTTCTCACCCTGGTTATTATGGTCAATTATAATCAAATACAATGTTTGCCTTTTCTCTGCTAGTAGATGAAATCCAGAGTCTTTGGGCACAAGTTAAGCAAGAGCTCCACTACAAAAGTTGCACCTCAGTCCATAATTATCTTTTCTTAATTGAGTACACGATCCTCTGAAAGGCTCAGTGCCTTATCCAAATACAGAGTGATGTCACAAACCTCTATTTACTTCTGATTTCAGGGCTAATTTATTCTCAATAAACAAAAACACTGAAAGTTCTAAAAGAAAGGTAGTATAAGATACCTCAATTTAAGAGGGTCACTGCTGGGACTAGATGTCCCAAGGTGTGCTTCTCCTTCTCTGAAAAGGAGGAGGGTGGTAGGAGGAGGAACTTGTAAGGGCAGAGCTAGGAGGAGAGAAGGGAGTGGAGCTATGATCAGCATATAAAGTGAATGAAAATAATAAATTATTGGGGGGGGGGGAGGATCACTGATCCTTTATCTCACTAACAATGCTGAGACCAGGGACCTCCAACTGTGCAACTAGGAAATTGACTGTGAATATGAGGTACACCTTCTAAACATGAGCTGAGGAAGCCAAAGAAGCCGCAGGACCACTAAAAAGGTATGAAGCATGGTCTATTAGTAAAACTAGCCTTTAAATTTCCATTGAACACACAGGAATCGAGGAATGAAAGGATTCCTAAGCCTGGAGACTACTAGAAACCAGCACCTAAAAAGCCTACAAGTGCCTGGAGGAAGAACCTGAGGCACCTTAAGCACCAGGAGGCCACTAAGTTTAAGGCACCTTCTAGACCACCCTCAGACCTCAGATGCTGGCAAGAGACAAAGGAAAGCTCAACATGAAGACTGTAATAGAATTGACTTTTTTAAGATTAAAAAAAAAAAGATAACTTTAATTACCTGGCAGCTGAACGCAAGCACTACACCAGTAAGACCTCATGGTTTAAACTGGAAATGACATACGGAGTACTGTTGTTCTGATGAAATTCTGGCTGACCATAAACACTGTATTTTTGTGCAGAATGTTGAACTTGATGAAATGAATTTGAATGATATATTAACTGATCTCAGGATAAAATCTTAAAAATTAGGCTATTAAATTATTCCTTCCCAGGACTCAGGAGGCAAGAGGCAGGCAGATCTCTGAGTTCAAGACCAGCCTGGTCTAGACTGAATTCCAGGACAGTGAGAGCTACACAAAGAAACCCTATCTTGAATAAATACACACACACACACACACAATCTTAATTCTCAAACCATACAATATCTATGTCCAAAGCTCTTTCTACATCATTATGGCTTGTAAAACCTCTCTGCTTGGCAGTGATGCACCCTGAAGTCCCAGTGATTCACAAGATTGCCTGAACCCAGAAGCTCAAAGCCAGCCTGGGCAACATCATAAGACTGTCCCCACAAGAGCAACAAAACCTCTCTCCAAAGAAATGAAAGAAGCTAAAAGAGCAACCCTTTTGAGAAAGAGCCCAAAGCTAATGAAGTACTAACTGACTGGAACACCTAAATTTCCAAAGACATTTCCAGGAATTATAGGATCAATTCTGTGTCAATCATATTTTATACAAATCTTAACCCCACAGTAGCAATTAAAGCACAAGCTCATACCTACTGTTGTGTGAAATTAAGTTACTCCTCATGCACTGCTTATTAACATTTCACTAAAAATACTGCACAAAGAGACTTCTAGAAATCTCTTGGGCTTTGTCACCCACCTCCCAACTCAGCATGTCCCCCCAAAAGAAAACCTTCCAAGCTTTCCTTGATAACAAGGCGAGCAAAGAATCGATTTCACTGTACCAGATGCATCCTCCCTCCAGTGTTGCACAGGTAACTATTCCTGTTCTCAGTCTGAGAACATCCACCTACTGGAATTCTATCACAGACTCTTTGCGTATAAGCACTGGAGAAGTTCACACAATGTCCATTTGCAATACAAACGGCATGCCCATTTGGGTAATGCATTATGTTCCTCCCTTTGTACTGTCCACTGAGATGCTGCTGGCTCTCACTACAGGGGAAGTGACCGTGAAGCCCACTGCCACGATGGTCATGATTTAAATTATATTGCTCCACATTCCTGGGAATCCGTTCTCCTCTCTGGGGTGGCATGCTCTCAGATGAGTTTTCTCGATGTTCCTGATTATACAGAAAGGTATCCTTGTGGGCTCTGGTCACCATGCCAATCACTTCCTCCTTTGCAAAATCGGACGAAGGAGGAGAGCTTTTGATGTTTTCTTGCTCCAGCTGGGACTTGGGCCGCAGCTGTTCCTGAGCTGGTAGTGCTGACTGTTCATGCTGTTCTGCTAAGGTGTCATTCTGCAGGTGGCCACTGAACTGGGTGTTCATCATGGTCTTCATTGCACTTTGCATTTCAATTAGCATTCTCTGTTTTTCACGCTTGGGAATCCGGCCAAATCGAACAGCTAAGAAGAGAAAGTTAGTTAGTGTCTATATGCTAATAAGCTCTGCTTGTACAAAACAATGACACAAAACTACCTCTGAAAGCCATGCTTCTTGTCATACAAGTTGAGAATATCTACATGTCCTCAGCCTAAGTTTTTTTAAACTTGGGTGTTGATTCAGCAAAGGAAATGGAAAGAAGAGAAAATTTCCCAAAACAAGGCTAAGAAAAACATGTCAAGTTTTTTCCTAAACAAAAAATTTAAGAAACATGGAAATGTAAGAATTCAATATAAAGCATACTGTCACCTTACTAAAGCTATGCAAACACACATCGCTCTGGACAATCTCTTGTCAGCTCCAGGCCAACCAGGACTACACAATGACACCCTACCTCAAAAACATTTTTTTTAAAAAAAAGACTAAGACATCTGAGAAGATAGCTCAGTAGGTAAAAGTACCTGACCCAAGGTGATGATAACATACCACATAATAAATATATGCATATTATTTTTATGTGTATCAATATTTTGCCTGCATCTGTGTGTGCATACACACACATACACATAAAACTTTTTTTTGCACATACCGTGCCACAGATGCCAAAAAAAGCATCAAGGTCCCCCGGTATGGAATTACAGGCACTTGTGAGCCACCTGGTGAATACTTGGGAATTGAATCTGAATTCTCTGCAAGAGCAGGGTGTGCTTTTAAATCACTGAGCCATCTTTCTATACCAAATAAATCCTGCCCTTCATCCCCATTAAAAGAAAACTTAAAATCATTTAGGAAAAGCCATGAATGGTGGCACACACCTTTTAATCCCAGCACTTAGAAGGCAGAGACACGTGGATCTCTAAGTTCGAGGCCACCCTAGTCTATAAAGTTAGCTGCAGGACAGCCAGGGCTATACAGAGAAATCCTGTCTTGAAAAAAAAAAAAATCATTTAGGAAAAAATGTGAGTCCGTTTACAAGAAGCAACATAAAAGGCAACCATGCCAACAGCTGCCTCTGAGATGATAGCACTCATTCCACCATAATGAGATTAAACCCACAGAAGGTTACAATGTGCTTTCTGAATCTGTACTCACCAACCAAAGAGGCCCTGGTAACTGCTGACAGCTCAGTAACCAACCTCACACTTTGCAAACACTCTGCACTGGGCACGTACCATCTCGTGACATTCCCACAGACAGACACTTCTTGAAGCGGCACTGTTGGCACCGGTTCCTGTTCATCCTCATGATGGAACAGTTCTCATTCTTCAGGCACTTCTTGTACTGGATGTTTTGCTGAATGCTCCTCCGAAAGAAACCCTACAATAAAGGAAGATTTATCCATCCATGTAAAACAACCATGTGAAGTCCTCACAAAAACTACTCCCATATCAAGCTAGTACATGTGGAGCTAGACCTATGTCAGAGGAAAAAAAATCCTGACAAAGAAGTTAACTGGATCCTTACTGGTATCAATCAGTAGATTCAACACTTAACAAACAAACTAAATTCCTCTTCCTGTGGAAGATTCTTTGTGCTGCCCGAAAGCATCTTTTTTTAATAAGCGCTCCTGCTGCTAGACTCAGTGGCAGTCACAAGTTCTACCTTGAAAGCAAGTTCCAAAACTTTCTTTTTTTCTTTTTATTTTCTTTTTTTTTTTTTTAGGGTTGGGGGAAAGTGGTGGTAGATGGATGTCAATTAGTTCGGGGTAGCCTTGAACTACTGATCCTCATACCTCTACCTCCCAAGTGCTGGGATGACAAGCATTTGCCACCATATCCAGCTTTCAAAACTTTTGAAACATAAAAGCTGACAGTTTGGTAGCTAAATTCTATCACTAGAGCCTTATGTTACAATAACCAAGCTGGTCACTTCTGGAACTCTGGTGACACCAACAAAACCTAGACACACATGCCAAACATCCCTGGCCACGTGTAAGTAGCACATGTTATAGCACATGCCCACATCCAGGTAATGATCCAGGGAAAGACAGTTCCCCGACTGATGACTATAAACAACTATCTTGACTACATAAACCATTAGCATATGCTCTATGCCAGGTCTTCGTCTACCCCTTCCTCAATGTTCCCAGGAAAAACAGAAAACTCAAGAAAAACAACTAAAAAAAAAAATCATTTTGAACTGCTTATCCTCTTAATATTATAATTGACTACACATGATACATCTTCATTAAATATTGACCAGATAGAACACTTCTGCATTTTACTGCTGTGATACTATACAGTTGGTTTAAATTATCCAAGAGCTAAGAAAAATGCATTTTTAAGAAGGTACTGAGGACATGGTGGTGGCGGCACAGGCCTTGAATCCCCAGCATTCTGGAGGCAGAGGCAGGTAGATCTCTGTGACTTCTGCCAGCCTGGTCTATAGAGCAAGTTCCAGGATAGCCAGTACTACCCAAAGAAACCCTGACTCAAAAACCAACAAACAAAACAAATAAAAAGAGGGTACTGGAGTCTATGAGGTAGATCAGGGGTAGAGTATTTGCCTAACCCGTGTTAGATCTTGGGTTTCATTCCCAGCACAGCACTGCTCCTATGCATTTAGAATGATTTGGTGATACACACCTGTAATAGCAGTAACTTGGGAAGCTGAGGGCAGATTTTGAGTCTAAGAAGCCTGGGCTATGTCACAAGACCCTGTCTCAAACAAATACCACCAAGATATTGATCAATTATTTGTATTCATCAATACAGTGACAGAGAGATGGCTCAGTGGTTAAAAGCACCAGCTGCTCTTCCAGAACCCACACGGCAGCTTACAACCATTTGTAGCTCTTGTTCTAGTAGATCCGACACCCTCTTCTAGCCTCCATGGGCACCAGACACTCAAGTGGTGCATAGACATACATCCAGGCAAGACAGGAATATACATAAAAAGTAAGATACTTTTTTAAAGAGAATATATAATATGTTTCATTCAAATTGTTGTTTTATTTCCTAGCTGTAAACTGAGCATAAATTTAGCTTTAAAATATTTCACATTACGCACACACACACACACACACACACACACAATTCTTTAAGACAACTGAAAAGAGCTAAGTCTATAGAAAAAAAAACACTTACTAGTCATTAAAAATTCCTAGACTCGACTCATTCAGCTCTGTCCCAGAAGAGACTTGTTCTTTCTTATCTTATTTACTCTGCTACATCCTGCCAAACTGGATTCCTACTCTAGCCTACAGTGAGAAAACAGCAAGAACACATGCTGATCTTGTTAACTTTTTGGTAACAGGAAAAAGACTTGTGTCAGATTTAAGAGAGATTCCTGGATGGAGGTGAGGAAGCAGGGCCAGCTCAAAGAGGCTACCTAAGATTTTGGTTGCAGTCACTAGAAATTAACTCTTCCCTGTGTGTTCTATTTAATAATATGACTCACTTGTATTCTACTGTTTGTTGCTGTTATTTATTTTTGTTTGTTTTGTGTTTGAGATAAAATCTTGCTAAGTAGCTCAGGCTGGCTTACCATCAACAATCCTCTTGCCAAAAGCATTATTTCTCAGCACACCACATTTAAGTAAATACTTAGCAGTTATTCCCAGTCCACAGTACCTAGCAGGATAAGATCTGATATGGTCTATGTTCCCCAAAGACCATGTTCTAAAAACTAACACCCAATACACAGTGTTGGATGGGTCACAGGTGGTCTGCTTTCGTGAATTGGCTAATGTTAATATGAAAATTAGTTTGGTATGAATAGTATATTAGGAGCCAGGCATGGTTGTGCACGCCTTTAATCCCAGAAGAGGCAAGTAGATCTCTGTGAGTTTGAGGCCAGCCTGGTTGCTCTACATAGCTACATAGTTCCATTGCTACACAGAAAAACCCTGCCTAAAACAAAACAAAAAAGTGAGCTGGGCTCATTTCTATACACACTCAAGCTCACATTCTTACACATGAGCACTATGTTTCTATTCAATGCCTTCTATCCTCCAGCAGAAAGGCCTCCCGAGATGCAACCCCTAGTCTCCAAACTTCTGAGGCAAATTCACTTTCAAATTATTCCACCTGTGGTATGCTCTGCTTGAGCAAACAGACTAAAACCTAACTCAAATCTTGGTTTATATGTACAGTGTCTATGCCTGTAATCCCAGCCCTTGGCAGGAGGCAGGATCACAAACACTAGGTCATCTTCCACTGCCATACCCAGCAAGTATCAGGCCATCCTCCACTGCTATACACAGCAAGTTCTGGGCCAGCTCTAGACTACCTCAGACTCTGTCTCAAAAGGAAAAGAAAAGGAACTGCTTCAACAAGGCAGTGCACCACCCTATCTGTCTGGCTTATACCTGTTTCCTGACCATCAAGGTCTGTACCTGACTAGAGAGTAAATGAGCCAGAACTGACTGCTCCATACCCTGAGTGACTAACCTGAGACAGCAATCTTATTTTGACTATATTCTTAAAGCTGAAGAGGAACAGGTGATCCCTGGGCCCCTCCCATCTAAATAAACTGTAGACATTCACAAACCTAACCCACTTTCTTTACTCCCAGAATTAGATTAGTAATAAGAAATAAAAGCTTTCTTTACCTTACAGCCTTCACAAGCATGAACTCCATAGTGGAATCCTGACGCCACATCCCCACAGACTTTACACAGTAGAACCATGCCACTAAATTCTAGGGCACAAACAGACAGAAAATAAAAAGCTGGAAGAATCATTCCAGTGCTTTTTCCAATTGAATATTTTATCACATTCAATTTGCAAATGCTTTGAAACACACTTGTACCTTTGTAGCATAGAAGAAAAAAAATATCTATACTAAATTAACAAAAGAAAACCAATCTTCCTTTCTGCCCCACCCCCAACCCCACAGAGGCCCTTGCCCACACTAGGCAAGTGCAGCCTCAGCAATAGTTGGCCTTTTCATTTTTTGACAATTTTAAGTATTGGTGGGAATTTTAATAAATGTGTAGTTACCTTATACCAGACTTGCAACAAGAACTAATAAAACAACTCTAGATAAAAAATTAAGAATTCAAGCAGAGAAATTACTCAATAGAAAATGCAGGGGTGGTGGTGGCTGAAGAGATGGCTCAATGATTAAGAATACTTTCAGAGGACCAGGGTTTAGCTCCCAGCACCCATGTGGGTAGCTAACAACAGCATGGAATTCAGTCCCACCTCATCAGGTCTCCAAGAACACCTACACACGTGGTGCACATATATTCTTCCAGGCTCACACACATAAATTTAAAAAGCAAGTAAGTAAGTAAATCTTTCTCAAAAAAAGGAACTGTAAAGGAGGCTGGAGGTATAAGTAGTAAAGAGAGCTTGTGTAGTCAACATGAGGCCTGAGCTTGATCCTCAGCATCATAAATAAAAAAATTAATGGTGCAAAGGTTTTAAACTGTGCAGCTTCAAATCAGTAAGAGATGAGCAAGCTCCATGCTTTCTCTACCTTCTCTACCTACCCTACTAGACCTGTTCCACCCACACTCACTCAGTGCAATCCTGCTTGGGTTTCCTAATCCCAAATGTTCCCAACTCCTTCTTCATGAAAGCAACTCCTTCCCACAAACAGCAAACACTACCACAGAGACAAGGCTCAGTACTAGGAGTCCAGCAGAAAGTGTGTGGTAATGGGAAGAAGAAAAAAACAGTTGGGCCACTGTGATGGTTTGAATATGCTTTGGCCAGGGAGTGGCACTATTAGGAGGTGTGGCCTTGTTGCAGGAGGTGTGTCACTGTGAGTATGGGCTTTAATACCCTAGTCCTAGCTGCCTGGAAGCCAGTATTCTGCTAGCAGCCTTCAGATAAAGATGTAGAACTCTCAGCTCCTCCTGCACCATGCCTGCCTGGATGCTGCCATGTTTCCACCTTGATGATACTGGACTGAACTTCTGAACGTGTACGTCAGCCCCAATTAAATGTTGTCCTTTATAAGACTTGGCTTGGGGGATGGAGAGATGGCTCAGCAGTTTAGAACACTAACTGCTCTTCCAGAGGCCCTGAGTTCAATTCCCAGTAACCACACTGTGACTCACAACCATCTGTAATGGAACTCAATGCCTCTTCTGGTGTCTGAAGACAGCTACAGTGTACTCAGATACAATAAATAAATAAATAAATAAATAAATAAATAAATAAATAAATGTATGTATGTATGTATGTATGTATGTATGTTCGAGGCCAGCCTGGTCTACAGAGTGAGTTCCAGGACAGCCAGGACTACACAGAGAAACCCTGTCTCGAAAAACCTAAAAAAATAAAAAATAAAAATAAATAAATGAATAAATAGACTTGCCTTGGCCATGGTATCTGTTCACAGCAGTAAAACACTAACACAGCCACATAGGACCACATAACAACCAGCCCGACAGAAACTTCTAAAAGCATGACTGATATTTTGCCTCATCACTGACTACGGTTACCAGAGGGAGAATAGAGTAGTGTGGCACCAAGTAACAAGCCTGGAACATAAAGACCATCTGCATTAGTGACAACAATATAAAATACTAATGGACTTACTTGTCATTCCGCTGTGACTCTTGGTCATGCCAGGAGCACCGGGTTTGCCTGTTTTCACAGGACAATCTGTACGGTCGCTCTTCAGAACACCGTCGATGCTAGAGATATCAGTGTTCTTGGGATTGCCGTTGGCATCACAGTTCGAGCTATTTGGAGAAGATGGAACAGACGAGGACGAGGACGAGGACTGGAAACTGTTCTCAGAACCCTCGCTGTGACAAGAGGCAGGGCTGGAGGCAGAGCTGGAAGAACTGATGTAGGCAATCACACCTCCTAGAAAGCAGTGCAAGTGGACAGATACAAAATGATGCACATATCTGATTCTTACTCATATAAATATACTTTACTGAATTGTTAGAAATGTCACTAATTTCAGAAACAAAAAGTGATTGACACTATTTTTGTTTACACCAAAAGATTCTTGATGTGTCATATTACTCCTGCAAAGCTCAAAGTTATGCTATATCCCACTGATTTTATCATGAGAAAACCTTCAGTAGCTTGTCTGTCATAAGAACACACAGACCTGAGGCTTTCCACTTTCTAACTTGAGTACCTTCCTGGCTCACACCAGCAAACTGCCACAGATAAAACCTACACTGGTCCTCAGCCTCCCCATTATTCCAGAGCTGGCTTCCCAGGCACTTAGCTGAGACACAGGCTAATGGGAGCAGGGCTTTCATTTGGAATAGCAGACAAAGTCTCCCAATCTTGCTGCCCTGACACTCCCTAAAGATAGGACTCCGTAGTGAGTCCAAGGCCCACCTCCCTCTTGGACCCACCCACCACTGCACTAGTACACTGATCTCTGTGCAGATGCACTATGTGCCCTCCTAACACAGTTACAGGTCGTGTTATAGAGTGGCAGAAGACACACAAATGTGCAAGAACAACATTAAGGAAGAGGCTAACCCTATCTATCAGAGAGTCTCTCAGAAGGCCCAAAACACAACAGTTAAGTTCACTGAAGCAACCTCTACAATCCCTATGCAAACTGGCCTAGCCTCTGCAAAGCTGTAATCCTCTCAGGATGGGAAACAGTGTTTAAAATTGTTCTTAGGGTGTAATTTTAAACTTCTTCCCTTAAAGAGATAAAATGGTACAAGAGTAACACCAAGGCCAAACATATAATTTTCCCAAATAAGTAATTCTTATTTCTCAGACCAAATAAGTAATTGTCCTCTTCTGTGCCAAGGTCCGCTGTGCTTCTGACCCCATCATCAAATAGTCACTGGTTCCTCAATGTACAGCTGAGACAAGAGAAAATGGTCACTTTTCTCCAGCACTATATACACCTACCATCTGCCGCATCCACCTATTTTTCCACTAGCTATAAGCATCCTGGCAGTGCTGAAATTCCAAGCACACTTTACAGGAATGAAGCCTGCCCCACCACATACTCTTAACATCTACTTCTGCCTTTGTGAAGCCCACATTGACTAACAGATTCCAAGCACTGTAAAATATAAGTGGGAAGCCAAGGGGCTCCTGACAGCAGTCTAGATGATGGTAAATATAAGGAGCTGGAGAATTTGAAGTGCAATGGGAGCATTAACTTGAAAATAAAAATTGTAGGAGATAAAGATATGGCTCAGTGATAGTGCACTTTCCTAGAATGGATGAGACCCTGGGTTCAATCCTCAGTACTAATATTAAAAAAAAAAAATGTCCTAAAGATAATAGCTCTTTGGCCCAATTTTTGTAAAGACGGGATCTGTGTTTAAAAAAATAAGAGGTAGAAGAAGGCTCCACAGGCACAGGCTTGTGCCACATGTGAGGACTAGGCAGAGTTCAGAAACCCAGAACCCAGATAAGAAGACAAGTAGAAAAAGCTAGAGAGATGCTTAGCCATTAAGAGCACTTTCCTCGCTCTTGCCGAGGACCTGAATTCAGCTCCCAGCACCCACATCAGACTGCTCACAATCACCTTTAACTCCAGTTCCAGGAAATCCAACACTCTCTTCTGGGCTCCACAGAGACTCCTGCAATCACTGTACATGGGAGGAGAGCGAGAATCCCTGGAGTCAGAACAGTTCCACACAGTTCAGTAAGAAGACCCACCTGCCTTAACTATGTAAGGCAGACAGCAATCAAGGGACACACCAAACATCAGCCTCTAGCCTCCAAATACGTGTGTACCTGTACACGTGCCAACACATATACATACAGAAACACATACTGCACCAACATACATACACAACAGTAGTAGTAATAATACAACATAAATAAACCACACAACAAAAAGTTGAGGTTCAAACAATCTTCCCAAATCCAGATATTTTCATTTACAGGCAAGAAAAAAAAAAGGCATAGGAATTGCAACCACTTCATCTATTGTGTTGAAATCAACTATTGGATGTGTATTCAAGCACTACTCACTCACATCCAGGTTGGAAACCTCTGAGGAGTAAGGCACAACCACAGAGACAGCGTCTCCTTGGCTAGGGAACTTCTCAGTATGTGAAAATTACACACACTTCACAAGATTTTTTTTTCATTTATGTGCCTGAGTTTGTGTTCATGAATGTATGCCAAGTATGTGTGGATGTCCACAGAGTCCAGAAGAAGGCATAGATCAGCCAGAGTTACTGGCAGTTATGGAAAGCCCAATGTGGGTCCTGGGAACAAAATCTGGTCCTGTAAGTACAATAGGATGTGTTCAATTACTGAGTCATCTCTCCAGCCTCTACACTTCACTTTTAAAAACAAAAGTAATAATTTACTAGGCCAGGCATAATGGCACAAGGCTGTATTCGAAGTACTTGGGAAGTTAAGACAAGAAGATAAGGAATTCAAGGTCATCCCCAGGCACATATCAAATTGAGGCCAGAAGAACTTCATGAGAACCTCTCTCAAACAAAGTACATACATTATATATTGCAAATGCATATATGCACACACATTAATGTAGACAATTCCATCACCTTTCACCCATTAAACCTATGTCTGACATCTGTTAAGGCTGGAGGTGTAAATCTGTTCTTCCTGGTCAGGCCTACTACCCACATGCTATTTGGTGTGTGCCTCTCATCTGTCCTAAGGGCAGCTAGCACCCCAAAACTTGTGTTTTTCTTGTAATGTGGTCCCTAGCCAATCATTCTGGACCAGTGGCATCAGCATCTGCCTGGGAACTTGTTAGTAATGTACATTCTCAAGCCCACCCCAGCTCTACTGCATCAAAAGCATGAAGAAGCTAAAGTGAGCACTGCAACCACTTGAAAGGAAGGTAGCGGCCAACATGGCTCTCACTATTCCTGACTTTAAAGTAAGTGACCTGGGTTAGAAACTGAAAAGATGCTTAGTGGTTAAGAGTGTATACTGCTCTTGCAGAAGATAGGAGTTTAGTTCCCAGCATCTACATCAGCAGATTCCAACTGTCTTTAACTCCGACTCCAGGGATGCCTCTGTGGCCTCTGTGGGCATTGACATTCGCATGCTCTTAAATGTTTTTAAGGCCCAGAGAGATGGCACAGCAGTTAAGAACACTGGCTGCTAAGAGGATTGAAACTTGATTGATTCCCAGCACTGACAAAGATGCTAACAACTATTTGTAACTCCAGCTCCAGGGAGCCTGACACCCTCTTCTGGCTTCCTCCAGCCCATGGTGCAGCCAAAACACTATACACATAAACAAGCATAAATATTTTTTAAGCACCCAGGTATGTATCATAAGAAGAAAAGCTTTCCAACTTTGAGTTTCTTTTCATCACTAGACTATCCTGTCGTCTTTTTATAACACATGCTTCCCAGTCCATGCCCAAACTGGAGAAAGTGGTCTCAGAAATGGGCACTTTCACAGGCTCTTTATATATAGAAATTTAAAAATGACTACAATCACAAAGTTCAAACACAAACTGGTAAGTTGAGCATGGTGGGGCATGCCCCTAAATCCCAGCATTCAAGAGGCAAGGCAGGAGGGATCCTGAGTTACACATGACAAGTCTGTCTCAAAACTAAAACAAAACAAGAAACGGAGGGAGCATTTATTGGCCAATTACAAAGATTGGAATCTACTAAACACAACTGCCCAATCATCTGAAATGAGAACCTTGAAGCCTATTCTATCCAGAGAAAATCACTAGATCATCTGTCTTTAGATAGCTTGAGTGCATATCATAAATTCCACAGTTAGCAAACTGCTACTGGGTTTACAGGTGTCTCTGCTCAGAATAGGATACTAAGAAAACTATTTTCCCAGCAGAGTATCTCACAGCTCTGTGTCTGTAAGAAATATAGCCTCAGGCACTCAGTGAATACCCACAGCCTATAAAAGATAAAAACTAGGCTCTTGAAGATCTTTCTAGGACCAACACTGGAAGTTCACAAGGTCTTCTGAGTACCTCTGCTGAGAAATAAACATTTAGCCTATAATACCAGAAGTCAGGAAGCTAAGGCAAGAAGATTCTTAAGTTCAAGGCCAGCCTGGACTATATATAGTGAGAGCTCATCTCAGAACAACATAAAAGTGCTTACTGGGGTCGGGGTAGAAAAGGCTAAGATCCCAAACACCCACATAAAAAGTGAGGTGTGGTTTTGTGTAACCCCAGGACTAGGAGGAAGGGATCACTCAGGATGGCTGGCCAGCCAGCCAGCCAGACTACTGAGGTGTGTGCAGGTAATAGCATGGAGTAATGGTACCTGTGTGAGGGACATGAGCTCTTGCACTCCATGTTCAGTGAAAGACTGTTTCAAGGGAATTTGGTGGACAGCAATGGAGCAAAGTCAACATCTTCCTCTGACATCTGCCCATGTGCATACACCACACACACTAAATAAATAAAATTTTAGAAACCTGAGCTAATCCAGATTACTTAAAACTAGCCAAAAGCACTGCTTGGGCTATGGTAAGTCTTAAAACTTCTTTCATAAAAGCTCCAAAATAAAGCATAAGAAAATTTCCTGAGCTGTTACCAATCCAGCTCATATCTCTCTCCAGTCTTTAGGAGGTTCATGTGCTTGTACTCAACACCCTGAAGTCGCTGGGACCCATCCAGAAGCAGCTGCCTCTCCAGTAAGACCTTTAATACTGATTTTCTTGTCCTCTTCTCTAGACACCTATCTACTAACCGGATGGTTGGCAAAGTGGAGGCTAAATGTAAACTTCCTAGAAGGTAAAGCTTACTCAGCAGCTCCTCTTGTAAAGAAAGTAAAGTGAAACTCTTAAGTCCTCAGGCAGCACTGAAGCCAACTATAAAATTACTCAATCTCCAGATCACATTTCAGCTTTCCAACTTCCATTAGCCCATTTGCAAATGATGAAGCTGGAGCTGAAAAATACTGAGTAAGGCGCAGAACTCTAGTAAGCAGCAGAACCAGATACAAAAGTCACCAAGCCATCCAATGAGTGAGTGAATACACAATCACTTACTGAGAAGATCTGAACAAGCAAGTTTCTTTCCATCTCACCAACCCTGAGTCATCACCCATAAAACAGAAATATCTGCCAGTAATTGCAAGACTAAAACGAAAGTGTACATAAAAGAGGTTATTATATTTTTTGTGCACACAGTCTCTGATGACAAAGCAAGAAATGTAAAATCCCTGATCCAGCAAATCCCAACACTTCCAGAAACAAGCAGAATGCACTTCTTAGAGCCTTGAGCTAAAATTAACTCAGGCAGCAGTCCTCTCTATTTTTAGCTGGAAGGGGAATGGAGCTAGCTGGGCCAGGTTCCCAGTCAGGGCTTACCCAGGCGTCAACTTCATGTAAGCCAGGAGTCAATGCCCTCCTGCAGGCTGGGGTCGCTTTCTCTTCTTGTGGGATTATCTACCCTTCTAGAAAAGAGGCTTACTACCAAACCACAACTATACTTTCCAGTTTTGTGCCTGATTTATTAGTAATTGGGTCTGGGACTCTGGAGCAGTTTGGTTTCCTTCCTAAAAGCTTTAAGATGAAGTGGAGAACTGTGAGCAGTTGTGCACAAAAAGAGCAGAAGGCTGAGGATCACACAAGAGCACTGAACAGGGCAGAGGTCAAGAGGAGCAAAGAACTCATCCACTGCTAAATAATGTATCCTATGAGAGATTATAGTTTTAAGTAAGATTACAAAAAGGAGGTCTTAATATGTTAAAGTAGCAGTATTTTGGATTCTATGTAAAACACTAGAGGAGGGAAGCCAAGAGCTAATCTGGATCTGGAACGTAAGTCAGCTTCACTAATAACAGGGTTAAAAGACAGGGAACCAGCAGAATGCTGACATCAGGGACTCTGACAGGGCACCTGCCCTTTTCTAAGCCACTCCTCCCTTATTGAGTGGATTCACACATTGTCTCCAACCTCACCACTACAGATCCTTATACTTTCAAGATCCCCTAAGCCAATGGTTCACAACCTTCCTAATGCTGTGACCCTTTAATAAACATCTTCACGTTGTGGTAATCCCAACCATAACATTATCTGTTGCTACTACTTAACTGTAACTCTGCTACTGTTATGAACTGTAATGTAAATATCTGATGCAAGGTATCTGATATGCGTGCAACCTCTTGCAGAAGGGTCGTTCAACAAAACCCACAGGTTGAGAACTGCTAACATTCCTTATAGCACAGCAGTGAAGCGACCTTTGTAGATTCAACTTCTCACTGGGTAAGTTACTTAACTTCAATTTATGTAGCCCTTCATTTTTAGGATGCTGACAACAGTACCTTCTTTCATGAATTAACATGAGGGGCATATGAATTTCCCTGACACAGGGAAATTACTAACTCTGCCATCTTTACGCTAGGAGCAAGCTATCAGAGTACTGAAAAGGACACTGAAAAGGAGAAGCCTTCACTTCTAAACGAGAAGTATTATCAGTCTCTTACTCTTCAACAAACAAAAAGACTCCACAGCTGTCCACCACTTTACCACACATTCGAGGAACCTTCCTATGTAAAGGTTAAATAAGAAAGGAAGGATTTGAACCCCCTAAAAGTGGTTTCAAGCCAATCTCATAACCTCTATGTCTTTCTCAATGAGATAATAGTAAAATAATTACATAACTGTCAAAGTTAAATTATAGACTTAGATCTATGTATCTTATATGGCTCATCCCTTTCGATTAGGCTTACAAGATGCTACATCACTTATTATAGAAGAACTAATGAATTTTCATGACCATACATTAATAATTATTTTCCTTATTAGCTCTTTAGTGCTTTATATTATTTCACTCATACTAACAACAAAATTAACAGATAAAAGTACAATAGATGCTCAAGAAGTAGAAAAAATTTGAACTGTTTTACCAGCTGTAATCCTTATTTTAAATGCTCTTGCTTCCCCCTCTCCTCTGCCCAGTCTTTTGCTGTCCTTCCTTCATTAATACAGGCCTAGGTCTTCTCATTATGTATGTTATTTCCAAACTATCTTCTGAGCCCACTCAGCCCACTAACTGCTCAACCATTTTCTACTCCACTCATGACCAGTGCCACTATTCTGCAGCTTCTCTCCAAACAGCAGTCTCTGCCTGTATATCCCTCTGATGTTTTGCTATCAAACTGAAACCTAAGAATACACTGTACAGGAACATTTGCCTAATGTTTAAAATGTGAGCCAAAGCTGTGGTTGTGAAATGGCTGCAACGAGCTCTCTTTTATAATACCTGGAGAATTTAGTATACACAATCACAATCCTGTGATAAAAATGCAGAGTCAACTTCTCATCTGTGAGTCAAGCAAGGAGAGTAGAGACAGCATGCCATGAATCATAGGGCAGTATGATGAATGACCTCTGGTTCAAAGTGTCAACTGATACCACTGAATTTGGCAGGAAGATAATGTTTACAACACTCAAAAGGAAGGTAAAAGGAATGTCATCAGCTTCATCTGAAAGGTAGGTGGCAGAAACTGTAACATATCAGATGGCAGGCCTAAACTCACTGATGAACAAGAGGAAATTCAAGACTAAACTGCAAATTTATGTATTTCAGATCGAGCAATTTCTGAACGGATGAAATCTAGCTTCAAATACTTCCCACGAAAAGGTTCCTAGATGCCCCCAAGGTTACTATGAGTGAGCAGAGCAATCTGCTCTTTTTTTCTAAAGAGAAAGGGGGGGGGAGCTGCAAAGAATTAATTTGCAACAGAGTCCAAAGCACAGAACCCAACATGAACCATGGAAAAAGCCCAACCACTTCCACAGCAGTCTACTCACTTCCTACATCCCAGGGGGCAACGGGTTAAACAGTATTTAAAAACACCAAGCAAGGACCAAGCAAGGAACTGGAAATGGGCAGGGGAAAGAAGCAGTTAACAGCCACCCGAGAAAATGTTCACATTTTGTGGCTCCAAAAAAAAAAAAAAAAAAAAAGAATCCAGACTAGCAATAATCATATCCTCCAAAAGCTCAAATCAGAGAAACCTAACCCACCTGACCCAACTACATTATGAAGTTACAAAGCTTGAAGAATCCATGTGAAGGGCAGGATTAGAACAGGCTGAATCTACCAACCTCTAAATTTCGAATGAAAAAAAGGTTCACCCCCATGAATGATGACTGAGTATTTTATATGCTGCAATGACTAGGAACTAAAGGTAATCAAAACAGTCAGGAAATTAATTTGATCATTGGTCTAAAAATTCATAAACATTTGTTAGAACGGGAATGATTTTTTTTAAAGTGCAAAGAACTCAAAAAATTCAATATGAAAACTTCATTTGCTTCAGGTATAAGGGCTATCACTAGGGTCGACTAAAGCAAAGCAGGGAAGGTGGTATTATATGAACAAGCCGCAAGAAACGTAGTATCTCCTTTTGGGGTTGAAAGTCAGCCCTGAAGGGGAAAAAAGGGGGAGGGGTGTTGCTGCTGCTGTTCTTTTGGCATTTTGAGCGAGGATCTCACACTATAGCCCATGCCTGCAACTTTCTGCAGCCATCTGCCTCAAACTCTTCGGCGTGAAGCCAAAAGGTTTTTAACGTAAATAAAAGTTTTATGTAAGGTTCTAAAATCCTAAATCACCAGTCCTCAGATCACAGCGAGCTGAATGCAGAAAAACCCCTCCCCTCCATGCTTGAAAGGACTTCTGGGCTATGTCGCCCTGGAGGCGGATTGCTCTGTACACGCCGTCCATCCAGAGGGTGCTGCGCGACTCCCGCAGGCCTCTGAACGAGAACGACCCACGCACTCCCTGCCTAGCAAGGTCAGCCCTGCCGGGGTCACCCCGGGACGCGCGGGCTGCAGAGCGCACTGCGGCGGGACGAGCGCCCGAACTTGCGGCGGGTGCGCATGCGCAGCGGTCCCCGCAGTGGGCACCAGCGGGAGACCCGGGATCTCGGCCACGTCACGGCGGAGGCTCCGGGGGCGGGGCCTCGCGCTGACTGTGGGCTCCCCGGCGGCGCCGCCCCCACGTGTCCCTCCGGCCCCGGGGAATGTGGGTCACCGCGCGGCCTCACGTGTCTCCGCCCGCCACCGCCCAGCGCGCATTATGTAATGCCGCGTCACCGGCCCGCGCAGCCAACCGGCGCCCGCGCCGCCGAACGTAAACACACCGTGCACGTGGCCCGTGCGGCAGGGCCATGTGAGGGGGGCGGCTGGCGCGCGGGGAGCCCGAGCGCGGGATCCCAGCAGCCCCACGCGAGACAGACGCACAGACACGCGACCCTGCGCCCCGAGCCTCCCTCCCGCTCTTACCCGCGTTCAGTTCCATGGCGCTTGGCGGGGTGCGGCCCTCACCGCGCCGCCCAGGGCTGCAGGCGGTGGGGCTCGCGGGCCCGCCTCATGAGCACGGGGTGCAGGCGGCTCCTGCGGGCCGCACAGCACAAGCGCGGCGCAGCGGCTTCCTGTGGCAGTGCTCGGCAGCCCGCACGGAGGCTGACGGGGAGGGCTCCTCGACCATGTGACCCGCGCACACCCCCCTCCTCCGCCGCCGCCGGCGGTGCAGTGGCTCCGCCTGCTCCTCCTCTTCGGGCCTCCCGCTCCAACCTCCAGCTCCGCCCGCTCCTCCTCTCCTCGACTCTCCCGCTCCTACTCTTGGCTCCGCCCGCTTCCTCTCCTCTGGCTCCGCCCTCTGTGCGCGGTCCTGACCTCTCCTTCCAATCGTTGGACCCACCAGCTCCTCCCTAGACACGCCCTCTCCTTTTTCTTCCATTCCTCCTACTCTGTCTCTGGACTGTCCCTTCGCCCGGCTCCGCCCCCTCTATTTGGTTATGCTCCCCTCCCTGGACTTGGCCCCGCAGGCCCCGCCCCCTCCCGATGCTACTGTTCTAGCCTCGCTCCCTCTGCCAGACCTGGCCCGTCCTTCCTCCGGGCTCTGGCCCCGCCCACTTCACCTCACCCCCCCTCCCTGCCTCGCCGCTGGGCTCGCAGCCCCTTGTCCCTTGCTAGCGGATCTCCGGCTGCTAGAGGTTGTTTGCTCCCTCCCCTGCTCCGCGCTCTTCCCTAGCACTAGCCATTCTGGTCACCTCCGCGGTCCCACACGGTTACTGTCGCTAAGCTTTCCAGGACTCTGAGCTTGGCTAGCTTCTCCTGCCCAAGGCTCTCAACGCCTAGCTTCCGGGATCACCGACCCTTTGTTTTCCTGCTGTCCCCTTAGGTGTTTCCATCCAAGCAAGCTCTCGCCTAAATAAACCTTTCTTGTGGTGATCCTCATATTCACGTTTCCAGCGAAGACCTCAGCTCTGGATTCCCATATCTATCTTAGCTTAGCTACGCCCCTTGACCTCTCATTATAGGATGTGGACAGGTACATACATTTTTAGAACTCAGCAAACGAATACTCCAGATTGGTGCATTTCACCTCGCATGTAAATTTTCTAGCAAACTGAAAATGGAAACAAATTAGATATGTGCTGAGGTGAATCCAGGAAGATGTGCTTTGAGGTATACATTTTAAATGCGCTACAGATATCGGCACAGTACAGTAAGGTGTAAAGTTTAGGCTTTGGGTATGACCTTTGCAAAATGCATCCCAGTTTGCGCTGAAATATTTCGGTAGAATGTTGGAGCATGTCGTAAGATAGACAAGTTTACATGTGAACATTCCCCCACCTCCCGCCAATAGCAATCTTTTCTGTTGGCTAATCAGCCTGAAATCTGCAATTGAAAAGTTTCTAATATGCTCTCTCGTTGCTTTTTATACTCTATTCCATCCTTAGCAAACTGAGCTAGTCTGCCCTCACAAAGCCTCTGCTATTCTCCCCACACACACCCGGGGGTGGGAGTCATGGCTGTGAGTCTAGATTCCGTCTAGCCTGGGCTGCTGCAACAGCTCTGGAGTCGGCTCCAACAGTCTCTTCTCCCCAGCAGTTATTTTTAAAATAGTAAACAGATCCTATGACTCTGCCTCAACACTGAAAAAACTCCACGGTCTTCCCCTAATCTGCTCAGACATGTAAGGATTCTTCCAGAATCTCATAAGGTCTCTGTCCCAGATGTCCTCTACCCCCTTGCCTCCGGGCTTTATCATCCCACATGATATCAGTGCAAGTTTTCCAGTTTCTGTTGAAACTTGCCTTTGCATATGAGGTATCAACTACCATCTACCTCAAGTAAAATGAGGTTATGGCAAACGGTATAGAAAGAAAAATCACAAGTGGATCATGCTCTTAAAGGGCTGTCTAGTGAAGGATAGCAACTACATGGCATTCTGAATGGCAAAACTGTAAGTAGGTGGAGAAGATCACTGGTTGCTAGGTATCATCAGAAGAGAGATTAATGCACTGAGCACAGAGGACTTAGAGATCAGGGAGGCTCATTCTATACACTGTTGCACTGAATACATGAGAATGTGTCTGTCAAAAAACCAGTGATGTCTAATATCAGGAGTTAACTAGGGCTTTGGTGGTAATGACATGTTCATGTGCCACTGGAGGCAGGATGTTGACTGCGGGGCAAGTTGGGTCTTTGTGGAGACAGAAGGTAATTAGAAACTCTCAGTACTTTCCATCCAGTTTTGCTGTGAAAACAGATAGATAGATAGATAGATAGATAGATAGATAGATAGATAGGACATTAAGTCTCAAACCCAGAACAAATGGCTAACTGAGGTGCCTATTTAACATGTCAAAATGGACCTGGCCATCAGGTTTTCCCAGCATCCTTTAGTCCATAGTTGTTACAGGGTATGGCTCGCATAACCTACCCACTACTGTAAACGTCTCCAGCCCAGAGGCTGGGCTTCCTTTCCCGCAGCTGCCCTTCCTTATATAATCCAGCCATTTTGGTTACCCAGACCTTTATTCTCTGATAATATATATACATATACATATATGTGTGTGTGTGTATGTATATATATGTGTGTGTGTATGTATATGTGTGTGTATATATATATATATATATATATGCTTTAAAATATATGAAGCCACACGTTTAATCAAAATGAAAATACATCCCAAGAATATAAGCCTGACTCATCAATAATAATATAGGTAAAAATAAAGCCTGTGCCTAACCCTCTAGTTTTTTAAGACTGCAGACTTCCAGTACTAGCTACTCTTACAGAAGACCTGGGTTTGATTTCCAGTGCCTACATGGTAGCTTTACAACATCTGTGACTTCAGTTCCAGGGGGTCTAACACTCTCTTCTGGCGTCTGCATGCACTGCAAGGCTGTGGTACACACATATACAAAGGCAATACCCATACACTAATAAAAAATAAATTAAGAAGCCTGACTCTTTCCTCCAGAGGTTTGCAGTTACTATCAAAGACAGAGAACTCCAAGCAAGACCTGTGACCACACACTACTGACCAGTGGAATCTCATTGGGCTTCTTGATACCACAGAAACAGCATCCATACCAGGTTGTTCCCAGAGTGCCAGGCTGCAGCAGGAATTGCTTTTGCCATCGTGCCATCTTTGCACCGAGTCTCAGCGGTTAACACTGTGGTGTTTGTAGCTCAGCCTCTAGATTCTCAGACTACTCACAGCAGGTGTGTGCTTACTCCACTCACCATGCTGTCTTCTAACCACAACCCAGCTGAATGAAGAGATGCTGTCCGCAGAAGTTACCTTCCGAGGCATGGTTGCACATGCCTTTAATCATCGCACTCAATCAAACCTCTGTGAGTTTGAAGCCAGCCTGATCTACAAAGTGAGCTCCAGCACAGCCAGACAGCCAGTGCTGTTACACAAAGAAACCCTGTCTGGAAAAACCTAAGATAGATAGATAGATAGATAGATAGATAGATAGATAGATAGATAGATAGATAGAAATTGCAGCTGGGTATGTAACTCCCAACTTCTGAGACTGAGGCAAGAGACTCTAGGCATTTGATGCTAGCCTGAGAAACATGACAAGATCTTTTTGTTTTCTTTTTGTTTTTTATTTTATGAGAGAGAATCTCATGTAGTCCAGGCTGGCCTCTTTCATTATGTAATTGAAAATGACTTTGCACTCCAGATCCTCCTGCATCCACCTTCCAATTCCTTGAATTTTAGGCATATAACCACCATAGCATTCATTAGCTCTGTAATGAACAACGGCAAAACTCAGCAGCTAGCAGGTAAATATGGAGATGGATGAAAGAGGAAGAACATAAATAATACCTTTATCACAAGCACATTCCAAACCCCATCATTTTTTAATTTGAACGTCTATCTTATATATTAATTCTAGTTGTCTGTTTCTCTCCTCCTCCTCCTCCTTCTCCTCCTCCTTCTCCTCCTTCTCTTTCCTCCTCCTCCTCCTCCTCCTCCTCCTCCTTCTCCCCATCCTTCTTCCTCAGCCCTTGGTTTTATTTTTTTCAAAATAGGATTTGACTTGCCTCAAACTCAGAGATCCAACTGCCTCTGCCTCCCAAGTGCTAGAATTAAAAATGTGTGTTCTGCTGAGTCCAGTTTTCTTATTTATAACTAAGGAAAGAGTCCGACTACTTTAAATCATTTTTATCCATTTTTAGGAAACAATTCAGGACATTAAGTCATCTCATAATTTAGTGGTTTACAGTAATAGCATTTAGGATGGGGTGCAGCCCACTGGTAGAGCACTTACCTAGCAGGAGGAGGCCATGGTTCCATCCCTGGGACAGACAGACCAAAAACAAAACAGAAAGTTAAAGAGAAAGCAAATGCCATTGGATTATGTCTGATGGAGAGCCCTTGCCTCCCAGCTGGAACTCCTCCAGCAGCCTGCCATCTTCTCTGTGCTTCCCCTCCCCTTTGCCTTTCCCCTCTAGTAGTTTCATGGCTTCAACAGATGTGTGCTACCTAGGATTCCTTGACATATCACAGCCTTGAAGTGTCAGACTGCTATCAGAGCATTCAGGACCCAGGGCAAGCATTCCAGGGTCAGAGCAGAAGCCAAATCACCTTTCCCGGAATAAATCTCTTGATGAACCTCTTGGCTAACTTCAAGGAGACCACAACCCACTCAGGTAAGAGAAGACATGGACCTCATTCCTTCACAAAAGGATCATCAAGCTCACATTCTGAACATAATATAGGAAAGAATATTCCTCAGTTACCACTGTTCAAACAGCACAACATTTTGTTGGTGGTGTTTTTTATAATTTATTTTTAAAATGTGGGGTTTTGTCTTTTGTTTTGTTTTATTTTGTTTTGTTTTGTTGTTTTGAGACAGGGTCTCACTGTGTAGCCTTGGCTGGTCTGGACTTCACTCTGTAGACTGGGTTGTCCATAAACTCATAGAGATCTGCCTGCCTCTGCCTCCCAGATGCTGGGATTAAAGTGCACCACTATATCCAGCTAACCTCTTCATTTTAAGAATGCATTCTTTTTCCACCCCGGCTGCTGACTCCATTTCAGTGGTTGGTTGTTCTTTCTTGTTTGGTTTTTCTTGAGGCAACGGAAGGGGAATTCCCTTCTTCTGCGGGGTAAGACTTGGTCTTACGAGATATTAAAGGTTACTGTATAATAATAAAACATTTTCCTATCATAAGTCACTTTGCTTCAGTAAC